CTTGAGGTCAATCATACACGGTCTTTTGTTTAGAAATAACTGATGTGTTAACCCCACACTTTAAAAGTATTAAAGATGAAAATCTGTGTTGCAATCTAATGTATGCTACTTTTAAGACAAACGTTTTCTAACTTCCTACTTCCGTTGTATAAACGCAGGATCGCTGCATATCACAGTTGTTTGATGGAATCACCCTGATGTTGTCACACTCTCCGATCTTAAGTTTCAAACTTCAACTCCACTCTTCTCCAAACAACCTGCCTGGTATAACAGGACCTGAAGGAAAAAGCGTCCTAGCCCATATGGCTAGATTAGGTAGCCATGATATCTAAATCAGACTCTTACATTAATGTAACGGCTACGATTATGCCACAGTAGGAATTCTCACTATAAAGGAGTCTCTATGAGGACAAAGTAGTTGTACATTGCTTTATTATTACCAGTAATTCATAGTAAAAACAAAAACTAAACAACCGAACAAATAAATCAAAGCAATATTGATTGGAGATCATTAAAATAATAAAAAAATCCACAAGTAAACGGATAAACTAATCTTTGAAACTTTATACTAAAAAATTCTCTTTCTAGTCATTAAGAATAATATTCAAAAAATCATGGCGTATTTCAAAAGACTTCTTACTTTCAAATAGTTAATTCATTAATCTCAAGAGTATAGTATTAGTCAAACAGGTTCAAAACTGAATCATGTAATATTTAATGGAGAGTATTTTGGCCAAAAAAACAAAAACAAATTTATTCTCATACCTCATATATATCTGCCTATTTAATACTCTCTAATTTTCTAATAAATACCATTCATAATACTTGGAAACAATATTAAACTGTTTACATTGGATTTCACTTTTAATCAACAGTTGACATTACTTATATGTGAAAGTAATTTTTAATGAAATAATAATAATAATTTTGGTTAGAAATAAAATGTAAGTCTCAAATGGATTGAATGCATTACATTGTGAACTAAAAAAAAAAATTCATTCTTTGTTGCTCAACATTTTCTGTTTATAAAATATTTTAATCATATGATGAAAATCTAATCAGATGATTTTCTTTTTACTTTAAAAAGAAATAATGATAAACTGACATTTAAGACATTGATGACGTAGAACTATTGACAAAACTGAATATAGTCTAGTTACTTTTAATTTTTGTATTTAAGATATTGTAAACATTTTAAGTAGTATGTTCTAACCTGTAATTAAAGTTTGAGTATTTGATAATATAAATATTATCAATTTTTTTTACGTAACTTAAACAATATAAGTGATTAATAGTTTCTCAGTCATTTTGTAGCACTACACTCAATGTTACCTAATGCTGAATGATTTGTCTGTAAAAACTGGAGCTCGGAGAAAAATATCACTATAATTAGATTCATTATATCAGTTGTAATTATTTATTATTATATCACAAAAAGAATTGAAACTTATCTCTTACTTATAATACGACTTTTACAACAATTCCTAAAATATTTTTAACTATTCATTCCCTTTATTGTTTAGTGATAACTTTATTACTCAGTAATAAAAACGGCATCACAGATTAACAGTTCTAAAACAAGTGTATTTGTGAAAATATTCTCATGTTCTAGATTCATAAACGTTTTTCAGCAAAACGTCTTGAATATTGAAATATATTTGCCTATATCTGTAGTTAATAACATAAACTGAATACTGTTATTATTAATAACATGGTATGAATAATAATTACATAACAGACAACTTTAAAAATATGGTTTCACAATGAGTACACTTGCTGATGAACCGAAATAAACGGTAAATAAACAAACAAATTAATTATTTCACTGCTGTTGTCAAATTTAACCTCACTTAATATTTACCATATTTCCTAGGATCATGTTTAACAACTAGAATGCGAAGCTTCTTGTAGATTGTCAGGTAACAAGATAGGTTAAACCACAAACTACCTTTAGTCAGATAATCATCTAAAATAAATAAGCATTAGGTAGCTTTTTCATTACAGTACGAAGTTCCTCTGAAATCCACACATAAAAACTTCAAATAAAACCTAGGACCCGTAAGATTTGCAATAAATGTGTAACCTCGAAACCAAGAGGTTGCAATCATATCAGACGTGATAAAGATATTATTGATAGTAAAAGATGACTCAAACTGTGAATTAAATGATTTCATCATATGGCCTGAACGTCCTGTGTTTGACATCCGGCTTGACCTCTGGAAGGTCGTCTAGCCTAAATTAGTCTATGGTAGATACTACCTTTATATTATTTACTCCTTGAATAAGAATAAGTATGTAAATGGATGACTAAAAAATTTGATTGCAAGTTTGGTTAAAAAATATATTTGTCAGATGAGTACAAATTCATAACAATAAGTAACAATAAGATTCACAATGTTTTGTCCAAACTATCAAAAGGATGATAATGAGAACGTCAATACATATATTTAATAATGTATTCTGTTATCGGATTAAATTAACTGAAACTAAACATGTCAACTACTGGATGCCGGCTCAGTGAACTAAAGGTTTCACGAGATCCAAAGGTTTTGAGTTTGCTCCTCTTCAAGGTTTTGGATTCGCACAGCTGTATCTCACACAATGACAAAACTGCTACCCAGTGCTTCCTAATTTCCAGTGGTCATATAACCTGGATCAGTTTGTGACATCACTTACAAAAAGCAAATATAACTTAGTCAATAATGTTCTTTTTTCTAACTGATAACAAGCAGCTGATTAGAAGTGTGCATAAAATTAAAAATTGTTTGTTGAACTAAACAAGCATAGTGAGGCTGACTTAAGCAATTCTCTAGAACTATGAAAAGTACTTAAAGTATAAACTGTAGTTATTATATGACAGTTGCTACATATTATATTATCTCATGTGTGTTTACTACTTTTGTTAATCATAAACGAGAGGTTAAAAACAGCGATTGATTTGTAAAGACAAAACTTAAACATAAGAATTCTACTTGGATGTGGACGCCCACATAATTGGATTTAGTACAATAACAACATAGCTATCTAATAGATATTTTAAATGTAAAAACACTTATTAAGCCTCCCTACTTTCGTTAGAAATAAGATATAAAGAGTATTAAATGTCACTGAATCAAGGTCTTTTTGGAACAGAGCCTAATTTTTAAATGGTTAAATATTCACTTGGAATCTTAAACGCAAAAGGAAAAGAAGCAGATCAGAATACACATTGTGCAAGGAATAGGGGGTAGACATAGAAAAAATGAATATCACTTGGAAACGACTAAGAAGAAAAACCCAGGACACAGTTGGCTGGAGAATCCTGGTCGGCGGCCTATCCTCCACTAAGGACAACAGGCGTAAGCAAGTAAATACTCACTAGTGATTGACTTTTCAATATACAAAGACTTTATTTAGTATGAACAGCACCCCGCTACTAATTTTGTCAAAACATTATAAGTCCATACCGAGGCAGTCCAGTAATCAAGGTAAATTTGTTGAACAAGTTACTGTATAACATGTTACTCTATGGTCGAAGATACTAGAAGAATCAAGGTAGATGGAGTTTAGTTCAAACCACATAGTCGGTGATTAAAAACCAAGTGCTTTAATTACTGAGCTACGACACCACAAGACACTGTAAACGATGAAAACAAGAAAACAGATTTTAAAAATAGCCAAAAGATAAGTCGACGAACCCTATGTGCTTCAGGGGAATACCAACGAAATTGACGTCTCGAAACTATTAGCGACGTATCATCCCAAGCGAATATGTAACTCCATGAAGATACATATAAACACTAAACAATTCACATCCTCATCTTGCTTCATTCCTTAATATTATAAATATTTTTACGCATCATACACGATCAGATTTTCATGCTAGAACAGATGTTCGTTGCAGTCTAAACATTATCAAGTTACCTGTCCTAACAGAATCAAACTTATAGAAACATTTACGTCTTACAACATATAGAGGAAACATATCAAAGATTCAAATAAAGTTCTTTAAATTAAACTTTAAACTAATGAATGAACTAGATTGATTTTTAATTCACGTTACTAAGTATTTTCTGACAAACCGAATTCATTTATGGTAATCGAAACATTTCGGTGGCTCTTTATCTGACTCCACTTAGACCGGACAAATGATCGTTATCGAATGATTTCTGTCGAAATATGTATCCTGAATGTTCTCGTATATTATCATCGACTTAACTGGCGTTAGTGTATAACGGAATTAAATAAGTCAAATACGAGAATGAATTTTGAATACGTGTTTTTCATGCAATTGTTGATCAGAACAAACCATCAGAGAGACAGAGCGAAGCAAAATGACACGCGGTGGAGAAGGCATGTAAGCCAACTCCCATTTTTTGTAGTGGCTTAGCTTCGTTAATCAATCACTTTGATAACCATCATCACATGAATCCCACGGTATTTGAAATAAGAAGGCAATAAAAAGCGGCGACTACTGTTTATTAGAGGATAGCACAGATCACAAGGCTACAAGCACATCGACAGAATTCGGAGCAGAGTAAAACTTATAGTCAAATCGAATAAGGGCACAGCAAGGCAAAGGCTATCAATAGGATTCGAGTACATATATACATGGAGAAGAGAATGATTCATCGAGTGATACTTAATCTATCAACATTTAAGCTAGAGAGAGATGTGTGTAGGTTATCATATGATCAAGAGTACACGTTTGTACATATAAGATAGTGATCATAATAGTACAAAGAAATAGACGAATTGTTACTGTTTTAATAACATTGTCTGTTAAACAAGTTAATAAAAGAGCTTAACAAGAATTAATCATAGTCGAAATTGATTGTATGAGATCTACTATATAGCATCTATCCTCAGACCGAACAAACAGTTTACTATAATGCCATAGACTGACTGAAGTTAAAGACTAAAAAAGCTATATATACATATATAGATAGATATATAGATATATATATACATTAAAAATATCTCTAAAGGTGCCTGAATAACATCAAAAGAAAACTGCTTACTTAAGATGTAACTGTTTTTCAATTTTTCTGTCGAATACACTTGTTAATTGTTTACCATCTAAACGAAGTCGACCAGCAGCTTCCAAACATCCACCAGGTAGGCAAACATATTCACGTAACCAGTATAGAACATGGTCACTGTTCCAACAAAATGATGGTAATATGCAAACATCTGAAGCTATAGGATTTTTTGTCACCTGAGTGTGCTGAATTAATTTATTAGGCAACTGATTTGTAGATGTTTTAATAGGATTTCGATCAGAATTATTTGAAGGTTTGGATGATAACGTATCTGCTTTTTGAAAAAAAAGAAGTGAAGACCCAATTCATTAACCATAACAGTTGTGAACATTTACTGATTATATATATAATAGTAATAAGTTATCATGTTGAACACATTTATCTTTCCTTATTACGATTATCACTTGAACTGATTCCATAGTTGAAACAAATTACAACAGAAATTGGGTACTGCAGGTCGGTCCCATTAAACCTCAATGAATCTCAAATACTTGAAACCTAAATCATTTTTTATCCTAATTTCTGAAAAAAGAGTAAAAAATCAAGACATATTTCGAGAATTAGAAATAGGAAACCCTCAATATAATAAGTGCTATGACATAACTGTACGCTTCACACTAATGAAAGTATCTCATATCTATCCAAGATTCATTGTTAATAGAAAATATTTTGAGGTTGTTTTTTTATAATATCATCAATGTTAATGCATGAAATTATATTCGATAATTCTATCAGCTGATTAAGATATTAATAAGAATGCTACGCTTTAACTAGCCACAGGAAAGTAGTGATTATCATACGGTAATCTAATACTATCAGTCAGAGTTTCGCTATAATCAAATAAATAACCAAAGTCACGTCAGACGTTTTCTGTATACAGTATCGGATAATTGAAAGTAATTGATTATGAACCTTAAAATTTGTTCTTGATATGTTTTGCCTGTTGGCTAGTAATATCACAAAACAGACTAATTGAATTTAGCTACCTCAGTGTACTAGATGAAGCATACAATAAGTTTTTTTCTAGTAACACATTTGTGTTCTTGGTGGCATTTGTTGAAGGTTAAATGATTTCATAATAAAACTATGACTCCGACTTACGAAAAAACATAAAACGTAGTTTCAGAAATTACTGCCCAAATAAACATGCTTATTTTGTAATATTTACCAACAAGACGTTATCGAAACAGTAGAGAATGCTTCAGTATTGGAAAATTAGGTTATTCAGAATTTCAACAGATAGAACTTAATCATATCTTTCTCAAACTATAATCTGATACTTAGAAGTGATAATTAAGCCTAGGGGTAATACTGACTGGATAGTTAATATGCAGATAGAAAATATAAGACGTAATATTGAGTGATTATGAGAAAGTTAAGCAGATTGTTTATGAATACCAAAATGAGCAAAACAATTTACGCCGATAACATTTTGTTTATAGAATGTCAATATTTGATGTCAGAAACAATTTTGATTAAAATTAATGTCATTTACATTTGCATCACACGACTAGATAAACGATGTATTAATAGTATAATATAAATATTTACTGAAAATATCCATGCAACCAAACATTATAAAATACAGGAACTCTCCAAAACATTTGAACAGTAGCATCTTACAAAGTATCAGTTAAGCAAAAAATCATCTGTAGTCTTGTGAACATTAAATAATGATTCAACCAATATTGAATAAAACAAGTATACCAATTTCTGAAGTCCATATAATCGTTGCAAATAAATCCGGAAAGAATGATATAAATGAAAGTATTACTTCCTATTAAAGGCAAAGTTGAACTTAGGAAAAAAATTGTTCTATGCGTTACATAATTACTACTTTATACCGTGTTATCAAGAGGTTTTTTAAATTCAGCAAAATGAATCATTGGTTCTCAGTTTTCCTTACAAAAACAATAACAGATTTATAAAACTCATTTTATATTGTTTATTTGAATCGTCCCATTGATGCTTAAGACTACAACTGATAATAAAAAAATAAATTCAAACCTCACCCCATTGCCCAAGCTAGGGGCTATCAAGAATCAGTAGCTAAGTGGATAACACGATGGCATTTGAAACGAACGAGACTGGGTTTGAGTCGAGGAGTGAACACTAACTCTGGGATGCATGTACATGCGGCTGACGAGTCCGAAATACAACGAGATGCGCTTCCTAGATTCCACTGCCAGCCACTATCCATCTTTACTTATAAAATTTATAAAATGTTTGTGATCACCACGAGGGGTGAATATCCTGGATTCGGTTAATAGTTACGTCCTGAGTAAATGACGAATATCTTCAGATTTATGTAATGTTAAGCGTGTAGTTCGATTAATATAGGCAAAGTTACTCATGTGATTTAAAAAAAAATAATATAACCAAAAGTGGAGTGATATCGAGTTGGCTCTCCCTTGATTTTTCATTTACCATCCCATTAGTCCCACTGTCTAGACTAAAAGTTTGTAAATCTACGAAATATTTAATACGTAACTAAATAAATATGATTATAACTATAAAACAGTCAGAGTAGAAGTATTTTATAGCTTATTTTTGAAAGCAACGACTATTAATAAAGCAAAATAACTGATATGGAATAGACAAGGGCTATGGCATAATTTAAGTACACTAACGCATTAAGTTATAAAATTGTCTAAGTAAACGTTTTTACTTAAAAAACTAAACGTAAAGAAAACATAAAAATGAACTTAGCGTATTCAACTAAATTAAAATATTTAACAATCATGTTCAGTGTCTCAGTTTTATTTGTAGTGGAAACCTACGTGGTTTTCGATACAAACAGAAGGCCAGGGAGGAAGTATTATTCACCAATTGTATGTGGAAATAGTTCACGTTTAAATAATAATGATAAATGTTATTTCTTTATTTCCGACACTATAACTCAAAAAAGTGACTTATATTTGGAAATAATCTATAATTTTCACCCACTTGAAATGAATAGACAATTATAATTGATAAAAAAATACCAAAATGGTGAAATAATTCATACTGTATTCTTTAACGTCTCCTACATGTAAACTGATTAATTATCGTTTAAAATGTACCAATATATAAAAACGTAGATGTAGAAGATTGTCTCAATTATGAAGCATGTATCAGCATACTACTTATTAACTTAATTATTCATTTGATGGTATATATATAGAGAGATATAATTATTCACATTGTGTAATTTGACTCGGTGACAATTTTCCTATTAAGCCGATAGCTTATTTAATTTCCATTTCAATACATAGGAGTATTAAATAATGTTGATAAATATTCCTTATAAAATGAAAAACAAAACAGATTACCAAGAGATAAAAATGAATGCTCTTTGACAATAAAATAGAAAACTATAAGGGACTTTTTAAAAAAAACCTATCTGAATAACTCCTATTCTCTCTATTTACTCAAAATACCTTTTTCATAAAATATATTACAATTCATTTTTAATTATCAATAAGAGCTATATGAGAAATGACTGCTGCAGAGAAATAGTGCGTGTTCTAAATGCGGCTCACCAACATTTTAGAGGCTAGTGTCCTCTATATCTGACTCCAATAAATAGTATCCCGTTGACTGAGTATTTAATGCAGGCTAAACATCCTAGTAGAATTATGGATTTACTTGAGATTATTCAAAAGCCCGAACACCAAAAATAGAGATAGTTTATTGTTAAGATTGGTAAAATCCGCAATTGTACACGAAGCAAGCACACAGGGAAAACAAGAGTGTGTGCGTATGTCTGAGTGTTAAAAATCCATATATATTTATGAGTGTTAATCAAGTATGGATAAACTATTGATTGTCTATGTATTACAACCAATGGAAGAATAGATTGAAAATTGACATGTGCTCAATCAGACTCACACAGAAAATTACATGGTGGATCAAGTAACTAAATTACAGTGAACAGATAAATAATACTGTAGTGGAATGTGCTTACTACACTGCACATAATTATGTTTCTAAGAGGATGAAATAATCCATACTTCATCTTCTTAATAAATATATTTTAACTCATTAACTTAAGATTGAGTAATATTTGCTAATTAAAGTAACTTATTGATCACTTACTAAGTCTTTTATACAATGCTATACATTAAAACAAAACGAAATTCTTATAACTAAATCTTAAAATAAACTACTGTTGTTGTCTAAAATAAGAGTAGTGATTTTATCTAACAGGAAATAAAATTTATTATCTTGATGGTAAAATTTCTTAGACAGAATGGTTGTATGACAAACAAGATAATATTTTAATTTTAGTAGGTTTGCAAAAGTGAAATGGAAATACGATGATAAATGAACTTGTCCCTTAATTTATAATTGACAATGTCAAAATGAAACAACTTTTAGTTTGTATGTAAAACTGGACATTGAAAGACTATTTTAAAAAAAGGATGAATCGCACTCATAAAATACCAGGAGATAGTAGAGTCGTGGAGTTGTACATTACATTCAAACGATGTTGTAAACTGTATTAGATTAAGATCATGAACCGATTGGTGTTAGACCACCATTGAAGACTTGGAAGCACCAGACGGCCGTTCCGTCCCGTTGTGGGACTCTTCAGCAGTGCGTATCCATGATCCCGCCCGCAGGATTTGAACCCAGTGAGATGCGCACAATAGTTCCACAATAAGACGAAACAGCCATTCAGTGCTTCCAGGTTTTCAATGGTGGTCTAACATCAATCGGTTCATGATCTCAATCAAAAAAATTAGTAATTTCCACAACCCTATACTGATGAACTGTATTAGTTCACTTTTAATTATTTGGAAATAAATATCAGCATATGCTTTATTCAGTAAGTGAAAATACTGATGAGCTCAAATACAACTTCCATCTGGACATAGTGTTTACAAACAAGGTATTAGCCATATAATTAACTGCTGTAAGGCTAAATTAGTTGATTCGTTTGAATCGAAAAGAGAACAAAACAGCTTCATACCTAACAAACGATGCAAAGACCATTTTTAAAGCTGTATGACTGACTACGACTAATATGAAACAGTTTCAGTAGGTGAGTAGACACTAATTAAACAAACCTGAATGACACTCAAACGTAAGTAAAGGAATTTATCATAAGGAAAAACTTTCAAGATACATAATGGGGCATTAATTAAATTCTATTATCACAGACAAATTGTAAACGTTATGAATTTCATTAAGGCTTTGCATGTATATAACTTTTCGAAATGAATTCATTAGGGTCATTGAGAGAACTGAAACGCAAACAATGATATAAAATTTAAAAAGTTCTCAAAC